TCCCGGGTTTGATTCCAGTCAAGGGCACATACCCTGGTTGCAGGCTCCTCCCTGGCCCAGGCCCTCGTCAGGACTTGAGCAGGAGGCAACCAGTCGATGTGTTTCTCTCACAGTGATGTTTCTTTCTGTCTGTCCCTCTCTCTTCCACTCTCCCTAAAAGTCAATGGAAAAATATCCTTTCCCTCTCCCTAAAAATCAATGGAAAAATATCCTCAGGTGAGAATTAACAACAACAAGAAGAAGACACAAATTGCCTTTATGACTGTCCAATGGTACACCTTGAAGCACTGGAATGCCTCTGTCAAGAACCCTGTGGCTATAGTCTTCTTCTCTGCTTGTTCCTTTGCTTTTCATAACACTAGTGTTCCCAGATGGGCATATTCTATTTTGGAGGCAATGAAATGCTGTAGCTGAAGCAACTCTGAACATATCCTCCATTCTAGAATGTCACTGGAGCAACACAAACCATTAGGATATGGTCCCCAGAGAGGTGCAAGTCATATTGGGCCAGGTCACATTGGGCTTCCTGACATTTGTGGTTTAATAGTGTCCTCTTTGTGGACACTGATATAACCCTCCGTTTAAACGCTCTTGTTTCATTTTCTCTGTGGCCCTGTTGCAATGTGTGCTACACAGTAGATTGGGAACCAGAAAATCCCATGCAAGTCCCCTGCACAGCTTCCCAATCACGTTGAGCAAATGCCTGCGTGTCTCCAGACCCCCTCCAGATAATCATCTAGAGCAGTGGTTCTCAACCTTCCTAATGCCGCGACCCTTTAATACAGTTCCTCATGTTGTGGTGACCCCCAACCATAAAATTATTGTCGTTGCTACTTCATAACTATAATTTTGCTACTGTTATGAATAAATATCTGATATGCAGGATGTATTTTCTTTTTTTTTTGGCATCTATTCATTTATTTCAATAAAACAGTTTTTTTATTGCTTAAAGTATTACAAAGGGTACAGTTCCTCATTGTGGTGACCCCCAACCATAAAATTATTGTCGTTGCTACTTCATAACTATAATTTTGCTACTGTTATGAATTAATATCTGATATGCAGGATGTATTTTCATTGTTACAAATTGGACATAATTAAAGCATATTGTGTCATCACAAAGACAACATGTAATTATATATGTATTTTCCAATGGTCTTAGGCAACCCCTGTGTAAGGGTCATTGACCCTCAAAGGGGTCGCAACCCACAGGTTGAGAACTGCTGCTATATAATAAAGAGCTAATATGCTAATTAGACCAGATGGAGGAAAGACCTCCCGGAACAACCAGTGTGTGGGGCTACGGGGGTGCAAGGCAGCCGAGGCAATGAGGCAGCCAGGCTGTCAGGGCTGAGCCCCTTGCACGAATTTCATGCATCGGGCCTCTAGTAAAGAAATAAGGACGGGCAAACAGCATGTTCCCCAAGGGACAGCTTTCAGGAACCCATCAGCCATTGGGGCAGCCATGCTCCCTGATCAGGCATCTCGTTTTGGAGCCACAGGTTAACTAATAACCAGACTGCATCTGGGGTATGTAGCCCTTTGAAGGCCGTCCATTGCTAGGTCTTGTCCTAAATCTAAGTGTCACATTGAGAGGTGACACAGCAGTAGCCTTCCTTCCCCTCTCCCACCAGCCACAAGGAAAGGAAAAACAAACTGA